ATGTAATAATGTTTGACCAAAATTTGACTTGCCATTTTTAGAAAATGGTAATTCTTATTATATATATAGAGATTCAAATGTCAAATGCTGTCAAAACACACTGTTTAGGATTACGTGTATTTTACAATGATAGATTGATCATTTAGTAAAAGCTAATTTAGGGAATAAACAATCAAGTTTTATATACTTACATTATGAAGTAATAAAAAATAATGATATGATTAACAATGTTTTCCATTATTATAGTTATAGTCCTAATATATATTACTTAAAAAATCTATACTTATATAAAAAGTCATCCTATTTATTAGAAATAGTATGCAGAAAAGTCAAAGATAATTAATGCAAATAGAATGACATTAATTACAGATTTTTTTTCTTGTATTTATAGGCTTGACATTAAAGATTTGTTATGGGATAAAAATCAGAACCGATTTTTTTACCTTTGCTGGAAAATCCAAATGTGAATATAGATTTGTTTATATTATCAAATCATAAAAAGATATTAAATCCATATTGTAAAAAAAAATAATTCATATAATTTTATAACAATCCTACTATACTATTTAACAGTATTCCTTTGTATTATATAATAAAATAATAATTAAATATTTTATGGTGAACAACAATAAGTAAAACTGTCACTTTCTCTTATATTTTTATATGCTAAAATTAAATTCTTATTAGTATAAATATTTTAGTGAGATAATATATTAATTATTTTACAAGCCAGCCTTAACATGCTCATATTTAATATTCTTACTAAAAAACAACGCTGGTTAAAAGATGTGAAAAAAATTTATAATAGCCCTATTATTTTTTAGACTTAACAACGTTAAAAGATGTGGAAAAAAACTTATAATAACTCTATTGTTTTTTTAGACTTGACGTTAATTAAAAGAGGTAGAAAATAAATAATTACTCTATTATTTTTTAAACTTAAACGGACAAGACTGTGAAAATAACTCATTTAATATTTGTGTCTACGGTTACGTACTAGTTTTTATCTTATCGAGGGAATAAAACCCCGATCAATATGTAAATTCGGTAAACACGTTTAACAAACAAATAATTAACACAATTGATTCAAATTTTAAGAGGCCCGTGTATAAAAATCCCCGTGTCCTCCCGTTATAGCGTAAAACTGCAGCATTTGTATCGGGTCAGCCTCTAACCAAGATCTGCCCTTTCTTTCTTCTTCTCCACCACTTCGAAGTTCTGATTCCGTTCGTGTAAGATTTCCGATTCTCTTTCCCACATATTGGTGTGTTTAGAATTCATTTCATTTTTTGGCGTAATCTGCAGATCTGGAGTTACGACAGCTTTCCTCAATTTTGCGTTTATAGGAATTTTTTCATTTTTTGGCGTAATCTGCAGATCTGGAGTTACGACAGCTTTCCTCAATTTTGCGTTTATAGGAATTTTTTCATCTTGTTTATTAGGCGCAGGAAATAGATCGGGTCGCGCGCGTGCGCTTGTTTGTTTGTTTGTTTGTTTGTAAGTATGAATCTGTGATCAGCTATTCCATTTGGTTTTCTGCATTTCCTGCGTTTGTTGTTTTAAGGTGTGTTTTTAGACCATTCATGCCTGATCGTGATTTTTCGGTTACGCATGTGTAAGCTGATCTGATCTTAGGAGCTAAATTTTGAAGATTTCCTATTGATCTTTCATTTTACTTTTCTTTTCTTGTTTCCTTGTATATATCTTTCGATTGACAGCATCCTAGATTCTGTGAAATGTTATTGGTTTGAAATGTTGAAGGTCCTGCATGAATTGAAGTTAATGTATCATTTTTCTTTAAAATTATACTTGGGAAGTGTAAATTAATAATGTGTCCATATTAAGGGGGCCTTGTCTCATTACCTGTATATTTGAATTGAATTTCTTGTTTACATTGGGTGGTTTGTTTTTGGTGTAAAACCTTTCTGAGTTTTATTTGATGTTTCAAGATGGATTTCCCGTACACATCTCCTCTAGTACAAGTTTTTCTGCACTCTGTTGTATGGAATATAGTAAACAAGTATCTTTTCTCATCTTCCCTGGGATTTTCCTTTTCCATGTATACTAGTTTCTTTGTGATACTATGGCTGCCTTTACCTACATCCTCACAATGTATTTATTTATTTCCATCTCTTGTGAAATCCTTAAAAGATGAAATCAAAAGACCATGGTAATCCCAATTACCATTCATCACTCTCTTAGAAAGCTGAAATCTGCTTCTGATGTTAATTATGGATCCAACAGGCTGAAAAATGGGTTTGTCATTCACCAAGCTTTTCAGCCGGCTGTTCGCCAAGAAAGAAATGCGAATTCTCATGGTAGGTCTTGATGCTGCCGGTAAAACCACCATATTGTACAAACTCAAGCTTGGAGAAATTGTGACAACTATTCCTACAATCGGTATGTTGTTCTTGATTATTAACTGACAACAAATATAATTCACAGTTGACTTACATGCTGGAGACTTGGTTTCAATAAAACTGAAGTAACGTAAAAGTTTTGATTATAAGGAACAGGAATTATGCCGCATAATGTGTAGGTAGCCTGCTCGTATTTCATGGTGCCTTATTATTACCATCGAGATAACTGAACAATACCATGGATAAATGGATTTATGATTTTTTTTTTCCTGCGATTGCCATTTGTCATCAAGTCTTTGACATATATGAAATTTCTGTAGGTTTCAATGTGGAAACAGTGGAATACAAGAACATCAGCTTCACCGTCTGGGATGTTGGGGGTCAGGACAAGGTATAAATAGTAATTAAAAGATTGTTCAACTTGCATTTTTGGTGTGCCTCGAAACCCTTACTTGATGAGAAGGTAGAACCTGAATTGAATCGAACTGAATAGATTTGGCGAATATAAACCAACCCAAATTCTGTATCTGGTAACCAATGCCCATTACCATGAGAAACAGTTCTTGGATGATTTTTCTGGTAGGTTTTTCTACCCTTGATAGAATATGATGCAATTTTTGCTTTGTACTTAACGTGAAACTTCATTTGTTTTGTCTTCTCAAAGAACCCATCAATCTGAGAGATGTATTCATTCTTTTTAATTTTGTTTTCTGCATATCTAGCTTTCTTATACTTATGATGCACATTGTGGGCTGCTTCTGACATTTTATATTTGCTCATTTAGATCCGACCATTGTGGAGGCATTACTTCCAGAACACTCAAGGCCTGATTTTCGTCGTTGACAGTAATGATCGGGATCGTGTTGTTGAGGCGAGGGATGAACTGCACAGGATGTTGAATGAGGTAACAAATCCTGAGAGTGTTCCTCTCATCTTATTCGTCTTCCTTTTTTCTTTTTTCCTTTTCCTTTTCATTTGACAAAACAAAAATGGTTTCATTTGGTATCCCTGTAGGATGAACTTAGGGATGCAGTGCTTCTTGTTTTTGCAAACAAACAAGATCTTCCAAATGCAATGAATGCTGCTGAGATTACTGACAAGCTTGGACTTCATTCCCTCCGTCAACGCCATTGGTACTCTCTCTCTCTCTCTCTCTCTCTCTCTCTCTCTCTCTCTCTCTCTTTGTGTGGTAGTGTGTATGAGCGTGCATGGGTGAGATATCTAAGTTTGTTCGGAAGAATTATATGGGTGATAAAGTTTAATTGGAAGACTGGCACTTGACAGACAGACTAAAACAGTTCAGTTTCATATTAACATGTATATGTAATTGTGTATATACATACACTTCCATATATCTCAATTAGTGAAGGTAATTTTGGCATGTGTTGCAGGTACATCCAGAGCACCTGTGCAACCTCCGGTGAAGGTCTGTACGAGGGGCTTGACTGGCTCTCCAACAACATTGCTAACAAGGTAATTTCTTTTCACTTATTGCCCTAGAGATCTACTTGCTTTTAGCCCATTATGAAACTATTGGTGAGTTTATCCTAATTCAAAATTCTGCCTTTTTGGTTTTCCACAGGCATAAGAAAAGACGCGTTGGGAGAATTTAGGTAACTCAAACCTCGACGTTGTCTATTTGATGATGTCCCTTCTTATCTTTTTTATTTTTTAAATTAAATCGGATGTTAAAGAATAGTTATGTTTTCTCTAGTTATGTTTTCTCTACACACAGATGGTCATCTCCATTTGAGGAGATTGGATTTGCTTTTCAGCTCTCAGTATCACTTGTGTTTTAATTTTCTATGATGGTATTATTATTATTAAGCATTTGTTCAGAAGCTGCTGTTTTTCGTAGTCAGAGTTGTTGCGTTTTATAAAATTGAGGTCTTGATGGCCCATTATTATCCTACACTATAGAATGAGACTACATCATTTTTATTATTTTTAAAGATTCTCATATACACTGTTTTTGTAAACGAATATTTTGAACTAAAACTAGAGGTTTATTTAGATATAAATCAAAAGGTTTTATTGCGATCTGTTATTTGAAATGTATGGTGAATATAATTAAAAATAAATTGTTATTCTAAAAAGTTAATTTTTAAATTTTATGTATTTGCATATTATCAAATAAAATAATTGTCATTCAGTATTTTTTAAACTAATCATTGCTGTTGGCTTCGGAAGACCTCAGAGACCTGTAACTATTTAATTTAAGAAATTGCGTCTGTCCAATGCTTCAAGGTCTCTGTAAAAAGAATTAATTAGTTATGTAATACAATCATCTATATGTTCGCCATGGAGATGCTACAGTGATTTAGCGGTTAAAAATCCCGACGGAATGGTTTCGTAACGGAATCGTAGCATTTCTCTGTCCGCCAAATAACCATGGGTTAAAATAAAGCAGATAGTAATGCTTGAAACTGTGTATTTAGGGATGTTAATTAAGAAATTTATATAAAAAGAATTTTAAAAAAAGGGTAACTTTTTATATTATTATTATAAACATTTATTAAAAAATGTAATATATTTAATTTTTTATATATGCATGTCAAATAGAGTATCGTCAAAAAATAATTAAACTGATATATAATATATGACAATTGACAACAAATAAGGAAAATTAAGTTTTAAATTGTACTTTTAATTTTAGTTGGCCCAATATTCAATAATTTTAAAAGTTTATGGACAAATGTTCATATCTAGATCAACTACTCAGGAAGACCGAAAATTGTCAAATTTATATATATGATTTTGAAGCACCGAAATTAGATCCATAGAGACGAGTGATCCGCTACAAGTTAAAATCGGTTTCGATCGATTGGATAATTCTTTTTCACTACTTAATTTAAAATTCAACTCAAATTTAATCCAAGTTAATTCTCCCTAATATTATTAATATAATTAAATAATATCAATCAATCATCCCCATACATCACAATAATTTTAATTTATTATTAACTACCTATCATTTTTAATAATATTTTTCTTACTTATCATTACATTTTAAATATTATTTAAATACAAATTTCAAGTCTTACTTAATCTTCAACTTAACCAATAAATCTAATCAAGACCGGTTTTATTTTATATCTAATTGCCCTTTCGGTTCCTCCTTTTTTACTCGTGTATGTATTTTGTTCAACCCATAAATTATACATAATATCAACTCAATATTTTGTTGAATTCAAGGGTAAAACTTAAAAGTACTTTTTAGTGTCATCTCTAATCCACTCAGACATAAACATGTTTTGATGCTCACCTCACATTCCTTTGGTGAAAGATACTTCTTGTTATGATAATGGCTCCCGCATCTTTCACCTTATACCTTAGTCTTTTACTTTACGTATAATCTTGTCGTGGGCTTTTCTTTATGTGAGATATTATATTTACGGTGTGCCTCTGCTTGGTTTGACCTTTAGACCAGCATGAGTTCCAAACTACTATATAATTATCATAACATAACATAGCATGGTAATACCAATCATGAACTAAAATTGCTTTAATTTTTTTTTTTAAACAGATATATACTTAAATTATACTCTCTCCTATTTTTTTTAAATGTCATTTTGGCTTTGTCAACAATTTACTAAATAAATGTCGTTTTAGATCTTTTATACATATTTTTTCATTATTACTCCCAATCTTTTTTCAAAATATCCATCTCTGTCCCATTAATGAGGGTTATTATTGGCAAATAAGTGATTCTTAATTACTGTACAACTTCTCAAAACGACATTTATTAAAAATAGGAGGAAGTATGTTTTAAAATAATGATCCTGTTTGGCACGTAGGCAATAACTGATAACTGATCGAAATGGCTGATAACAAATAAAGTAACTGATTGAATTAGCAAATTTAAATACTCAATGACTAATTAAAAGAAGACTCCAATATTAGATTTCTAAATTAATTTCTTAAATCTTAGTTGCTTGCTAAATAATAGAATTAGAGGTTCGTTAATGTTAGCCTAAAAATACAATTTGATTTACTCAGAGTTTTCTTGAATTAATTTATGGATTAATATTTGAGAAAATAAAAGGACGGCAGTTTCAGAGCCAATTATAAAACCAGAACAATTATGATACGCGGTTTTTCGGAATTTTCTGGATTAATTAATTTAATTGAATGGTGAATAAAAAAATTGCCCAACCAAGCTGAAACGAATCTGTTGGAATATTCGATAGCTAGCTAAAATGTGAACAAGCACATCAATTAACGGATAATATTGTGAAACTGCTAGAGTCACCGGCGGTAGTTTCTAGGAATCTGCCATCGGGACACGTGGAGAAATCTGAGTAACTTAACTCAGATCTTGAAACGCCACCTGGGCCACACGTTTCCTACGTACGGCGCTGCGCGATGCGGGGCCCATTGGCCTTTAACGCACCTACACCTGCCCAAGCTGCTCGAGCGACACGTGGCTTACATGCTCAATATTTGTCGGTGAAGGTCGGCTGTTTGCCAGAATTCATTAATTTTCAGTTTAGACCGGTTACTGACCTCTTTTCTCCCGAATTTGAGGAAAAAAAATGTTGTGAACGGTTATAACAAATTCACCATATTTAAGGTATGGATTGATTTTTGAGAATTTAATTAGAAAATTAAAAAAATTGAAAAATGGCTTCTCAAAAATTCGTTAGAAAATTTAAAGGTGACAAGCTTATTGTTGATACTATTAAGACTACGTCTGGTAAACTTTATGTGATAAATTAACCAGTAAATGTTTTAATTTAGAACTGAAAAGTTAGTTTATATATATAATAAAATATTTGATAAAATTAACAAATAAGTTATTTGAAATAAAATTTCAATGTTTTGATCAGCGACATATACAAAAAATTTCGTCAATCTAGGCAAAAAAAAAAGTTCAGAAAATATTTCTTAGTATAACAATATTAGATTCTAAGAAAGTAATGTTTTAATTTGGAAAGTATATAATTCTTGTATGAGGCGGTCGAATCTTTAGGCAAATGGATTCGTCTTATTTGTAAAAAAAATACTTACTTATGTTATGAAATATCATAATTTTATTTATATTGTTGTTTAAACTATGACTTTCAATTTAATAACATGCACATATAAAAAATATTGAAAAAAGTATAATTGTGTAATTGTTAAGCCTAATTGAAAACAACTTTATTATACATACACTAAGCCTTCAAAAATGAGATCTCAACTGAAACTTTTGAAGTTGTCCATTAAAAGTGAGACGGGCTTACATTACCATAAGAAGCACAAGAATATCAAAAATTCTAATTTGATACTAAAAATTAATGACCTTGCAATTTATAAGAATTTCACTCAATTATTGAAAAAATATAGTGTGTTTTTATTGATTTTTTTTGTTTATAATTATAATGATTTTTACTGTCATTTAATGATTATTGATAAATTATCAAGTGTGTTGATATTGATATATATCCTTTTGCTTATGATTATAATGATTTTTATGGCATTTCATAATTGATGAGATGTCAAGAGCCATTTTGATTCAGATATATTAAACAGAAGTAGGAGCGATCCTCTTTTACCCTATCTAATCTCATTTACACCAAATTTTCCATAGCTTATTATATAAAATAGTACTAATATATTTATCAAAGAAATTTCAGCCTAGGCAATTGCCTAGGCTGGTCCATACCTCCATCTGCCACGGGTTTTGATTTGAAAAGTTATTCAAGAAAATTTAACCAAGCTTATTTGGATATATAAAACATATAAACTAATCAAATGAGCTATAAAAACTAGTTTACGGTACTTAGTAAACACGCTCAAAGAGAGTATTTTGCATAGTTGTCAAAAAATTTTATGTATAAATTCTAACACTTTTATAAATCAACTAACCTTTTATGGTTACGGATGTGAGACAAGATGTAAGAATTCCAAATTTTCAATTGTAAAGGTAAAGGACTAAAGTTACGCGTGTGGAAGGAATTTATTTTCCCATATCCCATCATTATTTCCTATTATTTTATTGTCCAATGTGAGAGTGTGAGGAAATATTTTTTTTTTTTTTCCATATTTTTGTACAATCATTTTATTGCTTAATCTATACATGGTGGGACCAACCTTTTAAAAAATAAGCCAACTATATTTAATATTTATAGTATTATATATTTAAAATATCAATAAATTAAATAACTTAAAAATTAATTTAACTATATTTATGAAATATTATATATATATATATAT